ATCCCCATCCCCATCGCCATCCCCAGCGCGGGGCGGTGGCGGGCGATCCGGCCGGATTAAAGCCGGGCGCTTTGAAGTCCCTGCGTCGCATGTGATCCCACGTCGGGGTGCTTAGGGCTCCCCATTCACTTGTTAATTCCCACTAAGCTTTTTCAAGTACCTGAGCCCGCAGCCCCAAGCGCCTTCAAAAACAAGTTTATGCACGCCAGATCGCTCCGAAATTACCCATCTGGGTACCAACGAGACCAAAGGCAGAAAGGAGCAGAGTCGTTAGAAAATAATCGAAGCAAATGGGCACTTTCTTTGCCACGTGAATTTCGGCTCGGAAACCCGTTTTGCAGGAGCGGGAGTATCAAAGGTGTCCGCAACCTGCGGAATCTGCGCCCTCCCGGGCGCGGAGCCCGGGCTGAGCCGCCGCTGTTCCGGGGGACTGAGGGGGGCCGGGACCGGCGCCCTGCTCCGCTGAACTGGCCAGAAAGAAAGAAAGAAACAAACAAACAAAATCAATAAAAATAATATTAAAAAAAAACCCCTTCCATCAGAAAAAAACATTAGCTGAGGAGGAAACGGCTGTGGCCACCCTGGTGAGATGCCCCCTCACTCCGCGGCTGTTGCCATTGGTACCAGCCCTGTAGAATTGTCCGCCTCATTTATTTTTTATTTATTTTTAGCAGCAGAGATTTAGGACATATAAAGCAGAATGAAGTTACAGTATGAAGAAATAAAAAAGATGTGACCTACGCCTCTACCCCCCGCAAAAAACAACCCCACCCACCACTCACAACAGAACCCATAGCTGCTTTGCCACCATAATTTGCTTCTCGGTGACACAAGGACAATGTGAAAGGATCCTTGCACCACTTCTCTCCAATTAACTTCAGTGAGTGAAGTATGAGCACTGTTTTTTTCTAGCACAGATGATTGTGTTGATTCCTAGCACATTAGTGGGGGAAAATTTTAGCTTGAAGAGTTTGAGTTACACAGATGAGAACAGACAAATGAGCAACATAACAGAAGAACTTTAAACCATCTCACAGATGCATATTCTTTCCGTTTTTGACTATATTCTTTCCTTTCTCCACTACTCATGTTTCAGGCAGTTACTGGTTACCCTGTTGCCCACAGCTATGGATTGAAGGGCAGAAAAGCAATGGAAGTAATGAATATGAAAAGAACGTGGAAAAAAAAAAAAGTCTTCTGATCTTTTGTTTTAGGTGTTGATCTAAATTAAAATACAACCCCCTTTAGTATGACCCATTAAAAAGTATCAAGGGGCTTGGTGTGAGCAGCCAGACCCAGATGTCCACAGGGTGGCGAGGCCTTGGTAAACATAATACTATCATGGCGACATTTCTGCCTACTTCACACCTTATTCAGCCCTACTCAAGCTAAAATCCCACCTTCCACTTACCCTTATATATAGCCTAAGGCGTAGGGTTTGACAGCTGTGGAACAAGGGGGCAGGTAAAATACAGAGCCCCAGCATGATGATAGAGATCAGGGGGCTGCGCCCCTCCATCCCATGGGGTGGTGGCTGACATCTTCCTAAGTCTGTGCTCCTGGTGCCAACCTGGTTGCAGGGGACATCCCAGGACCTGCAGGATGGCTGTCCTTGGTTCCTGGGAGGAATTCCTGCCTCTGCTGTTCCAGCTCACTGTCCAGCCTTTTCTCCTAAATGACATGTGAGAGTGAGTCAGAGCCAAGCGGTCAGCCTGTGAGGTATCACAGCAAGGCGAAGGACGTGCTTTTCCTTTGGCCGAGGCAGCTACAAGAGCAGGAGCCTTCCACACATGGGGCAGATGGCAAACAGCAGCCGAGCAGGGCACGGGCCATCCTTTCTTCAGTTGCTAGCCCTTGGGAAAAGGAGAGGGATGTCACACTGCCACAGTCTGCGCTGTCATAACAAGAGCGGTCAGGGCAATCAGCAATCATTTGCAAGTGGCAGAGCTGGACTCAGAGTAACGTACTTTGCAAGACAGGGTAAGCTGTGCTGTTATTTGTGTTTGAGCATTTGGCGTGGGATACTCACACACTCCTGCCAGGCAAGTGCTCTTAACGTGCACCGGGGGCATGAGGACTGCATAGCCGCTGTGACCATCTATTTCATCGCTTTTCTACATCCCGTGTAGTAGGTGGGAGGTCCTAAGGGGGGAATTTGTACTGCATTGCTTATTTCTGAAGGCTAGCAGCTCTGGGGAATATTTGATGAAAGGTGGAGGTTAGGAGCTCTCAAGTAGAATAAATGCTGCTAAAACCCCACCTTTAAAGCAAAATTATATAAATCCTACTGCAAACATGGAAAACCATCCCACCAGGCTGCAATTACACAGGTTTCAGAAAAAAAAAAAAAAAGGCAAGCAAAGCGAGCCTGCATTTCCATCTGGTAGCTGAACAGCTCTGGAAATAATTGTCCGTTTCGTTTCACCTTTCTCGTTCTGGGGTTTTGGGTCTTGCCTGTCACATTTCATGGCCCCATCTACCAGACCTCATTCAGGTGCTCAGGGGTGGGTGGTGGCCCTGAGGGCAGGACCTGCGTGGGAAGTAGCACCAGCACAGGTTAGGGGGACACTAGTGGGCGCCACCGTGAGCCGCTGTCCCGGTTCGCTGAGCACTCCCCCTGGTCCCTGGGGCTCTCCGATTCCACGCTCGGAGAAAGTGGCCAATTATTTTTCTGTCTGAAAGAGTCTGTGATGTGGCAGAGAATGACAGCTCCAAGGGAGAAAACACCTCTTCATTAAAAAGTGCTGCTAAGCACACTGAATATCCAGATCCCAGCACCCAGTTGCACAAAGGTTAGGACGAGAGCCAAGAAATTATGCCCTTTCACAGATTTTTATATATACACACATATATGTATGTGTCCAACGTACACGCAGACACACACACACACAGAAATATACAGGGTCTCTTTCAGTGCAGGGTGGCCATAATCCTTTAAGTTCCTACTCAGGCAAAACTCCCACTAAAGTCCAGTTTTACCATCAGTTTTGATGCGATAGGAATCACCTAGGAAAAAAAACATGAATTTGGTGACCAAGTGCAAGAAGAGACTCAGCTTCACAGAACCAAAAATGGTTAGGTATGTGTTGGGGGGAAGATTAAAAAAAAAAAAACCAAACCCCCAAAATCAAAAAATCCCAAGCGAAAAAGAGAAAGCAGTAATTTGTGTCTTGCTCACCTCTGAAAGGCTGCAGGGAAGAAAGGGCCAGGCTGCTGTGTTTTGTAGGTTTAATCTGACTTTATTGTCTTTTAAGTGATTGTAATGATTGCATGAATTCTTTTTAATGAATTAGAAAGTATTTCTAAAAAAGATGCAAAATCACATGGCAACGCAGAATTGGGTTTCTTGGTGAGGCACAGCCTGTTGTAGGAGAGAACCACTCTACTGCTGATACCAAAGAAAGCTCCATTTTGGGATATGATTTTTTCCACAGCCTTCCTTTTCTTTTCCTTCAGAAATTTTGGAAGGTTGAGAGAAAAGAAAAGAAGGCAGTGAAGAAAAGATGGGAAAAAAAGTTGTGACATCCAGGGCTGCAGCAAGGTGGAAGTCATCGTTCCCACAATGGCTCTGTGGAAGAGTTTAGGCTCCAACAGGACCAGAAGCAGACGTCAGGTTTTACCTAACTCCTCACACCCCAGCAGCTTCCCCTGCCCCAGTTCCCTGGCTGTCTGCATTCAGGCACTGAGCTGCGTGGGCTCACCAGGTTGCTGCCCATCTCCCACAGAGGTCCAGTTATGAGCAGGACTCTTCCATTGCCTTCCCACCTTGGCCCAGGTGGCATGTTCGGAGCATCACGCCACCAAGGTCCCTTTGCAAATGAGCTCCGCTCCCTCTTGCTCCCACGTCTTGGTGAAGTAGGAAAACCTTCAGAGAGAAACAGGGCAGGACAGCAAGCGACCCTCTGGAGATGGCTCTCTTGTCATTTATAGAGGGACATACTGAGATAAATCACCGCCAGTTCTCTCGGAGCTGGAAGAATATTCCAGATGAACTGTAATCCAGGGGTGCAGCAATGAATAAAGAAGGGAACAGACTCACACATTTGGTGTTCAAGGCTGGGCAGTGAGAAATGTGGAAATCCTATACTGACTGAGTGGATAAACCCCTATGATGATGCTTATATTTACTGACTTGACAGAATCATTGAACTCAACCTTTTTCTAACCTTTCCTGCAATTTTATTTTGAAATTTCCACCTCCCCGTGTTGTCTCATCTGACCACATAACAACGCTTTTCTCAGCATGCTAAAGAAGGAATCTGCAACGAGGCAGAAATATTCAAAATATGGAAAATAATATCTTCATTTCCTAAACAATTTACAGATTATAACCTATTGTTTTCAGTAAAGATTTGAAGATGTAATTACTCATTTTCAGTAGAACTTGAAATCCTGCAGGGGCACATTTTTGTTCTCATATGTTTTGATGCAGAACTGCCAGGTTTTGGTTCTGCGATACTCGTATTTGATTGTTTTCTGCTTTAAATGCACTGTAACGTAACCATAACAGTATACTGCTTTTCCATGCTTAGCATATTCATTACCTTCTCTTCCTCTCAACTTCTTGATTTGCATGCAAGAAATCTGTGTCAGAGAGAATGCAATCTGCAAGCCAATAAAATCCTCTCCCATGGGAGGAAGGAGTCAAAGTGGTACATGTAGCTCATATGAAGAATACGAAGTACATACAAGAACACGGTCCTGCATCGCATGGAAGGCCCACGGTCCAAGTGCAGCATGCCAGGTAGAAAAAAGCTATTGCAAGAAGCAGAAAAAGGGCTCTGGCTGCAGTTCCACCAGACATTGGCTTTACTGGCAAAACCAGACCGTGAAGTCTCCCGTTCCCCGGTGGTTGCCTGCCCACCCCTATGGCTCAGGTCTTCGCCCCTCAGGTCAGTCTGTATGAACATTTGGAAGACTGTAAATCAAGCCCTGGAGGTAGCGCTGTTTAACAATTACCCCTTCCCAAAATAGGGTGTTTTTAACCCCGCTTACTTTGGCCACTGGGTTCAGCGCGCAGTCTTACCAACAGCTGCATCAGCACAATGACGGTGACAAGCAGCGTTACGGGAACAAAAAAAAAACCAACGAGCTGTGGGGTAGAAACTTCCTCCGTTGGTTTCACAGGCACCCCGTTGAACCCTCCCTGGCAGATGATCCGGGGCAGCTTGGCCAGGTTGCTGCCTGCCACACGGCCACCGAGGGCTGGGGCTCTGCGCTCAGCAGAGGTAGACCCGTGTGCGCTGCTGGAGCGCCCCGCGCTACTCCTCTGACCCAGTTTAGGCTCAGGCATGTGGTCACGTTTCTGTCAAACTGGTCCACGCGCCCGGCGGAGGTTTAGCCAGCTGTGGGCGAGTAGACAGCAGCCGGTTCAGCGTAAAGGGCTGCTGCTGCAGAGTCAACCTGTCACCGTGTTTTGAAGAAATCTGAGCCGGGGCGTGGGTGTACCCCATCGGCAATCTGAGGCCCACGGCCGCAGCACTTCTGATTTAGCGCTAAGAATCTTAAAACCAGATTTGAACCCTGGTCTGATCTGCTTGCAGCTCCTGTCCCATGGCAGCGTTTTAAGGCATACGGAGATAAATAGTGATTTTCCTGCAAGTGCTGCATCCTAAACTCTGGCGGCTTGGCAGCTGGTCTGGCCACAGCACAGCTGGCAGGGGCTGGGGCAGTGACACTGGCAGCCCTCCCAGCTCTAAGCAGAACAGCAATTAGAGAGTTAAAGCAGCCAGCACTGGTTTCTCTCTCCACATTTGATCTCAGACACCCGGGACAGAGGCAGTTACACCTCTGAACGAACTCTCGGCTGCCTGCCTTCCTCTATAATCACTTGCATAAAACCCCAGAGTTAAAAATCTGCCAGTTCAGAATCGTAATAGGCAGTGGCAGATCAAGCCTAGCTGCACTTTCTGTCTCTCTCACCAAAGTGTAATCTGGTGGTATCTGATATGGCTAAGAGCTAGAACGATGATTTACTATGGCTCAGTTAACACAAAGCAGCTCAGGCTGCAGGTTCACAGCGTTTTGCTTTCGGGCATGCCCTTTTCGTCACTCCTACTCCCAGCTGTGGCCAGTGACCCTTCAGCTGGGCCAGCCCAACCATTGGTGGGATCACCTTGTCAGCCAGAAACCTAAATCAGCTCTTAAAATCCACTCTCACAGCTCAGATCCCCACGTTGTCGTGCTAGGGGTCATATGCTGTGCTATGGGGGGCCAGGCCCCACAGGAGAGGAGCGAGGCAACTCCATAAACCCATACGACTACTAAAGCATGCCTAACTGAAACTGCAGCCTTGCAAACTTCAGTAGCTGGATTGCGCGCCCGTTATCCAAGCAAAGGTTTTGCCAGAGTTGCCTTTAAATTTGCTCCCCATTACCTCTCCTTCTAAATAAATATGAGTCTGCCAGAGACTTCTTATTTCCCTGCAAAGATGTGGTCTCTGTAAAGTGTTACTCAGCTGAAGTTTGCCTCAGCCTATTAATTCAGCTAGTGACAGGTCTCTCTACATGAAAGAGTTAATGCAAAGCCTATCTTAATAAACATCAACAGTTTTCAACTAATACAACAAAGGCGTCCCCTAAACTTGACTATGAAAAGCGCGTTCAGCCAGGTCATACCCCTGTAAAACTGCAGGAGCTCCAGTAACATTTACTTATTTTTTAAAGGCGGTTGCAGTTTCCACAGAAAATATTTAAAGGTCTGTGACTTGGAAAAGTACCAACCTCTGCTATAGCGAATCCCTGAAAGGCCCAGGTGAACAACCTCCTAAGGAAAGAGGGACATGGCGACGTCTATTGAATCCTGCTTAAATACTTGGCTTGCCATAGCTTTTAGAAATTCTGACTTTATAGAGCTTGCAAAGAGTTATAAAAATGCGAGGTGGAAACAATGTTTATAACGAGAAGTAAGTATTAAAAAAATCCTTAGCATAATATCATTATAAAAAAAAAAAAGCAAGTTAAAGAAAAAAATAATGTAAAAGTATTAGGTATAGCCAAACTGCTGTTAAGGCAGTCTGCTTTAAGCATACACGCAGGGGCATTTGAGCTGAAAAAAGTTTCACAATTACATCAGCTTTGTAGGCTGAACTGTTACTACCATTCACAGGAAAATAAACCAGTGACTAAACAAAAAAAAATTATGACAAGGTTTCCCCACATCATATTTTTCAATAGCAATGAGAACAACTCTCCCTGGTTGTGACTCATGTGAAGTCGGCAGAGATTCACCGAGGCTGAAACATGTCCTGTAAATTTAGCCCCCACATTTCCCTGCAAAGCCCCTTCCCGACGCCTCTGTCCCTCGCTGGCTCCGCAGCCCTGGGGACCATCTGCCCCCAGCGCCCCAGCTACACCTTTCCCATTTCTTATTTTTCAGTGTGGGCAAGTCAATGGTGCGGGCATCCTTACTATTGACTTGCGTTGTCTTGTACCAGCACCAGTCCTTCCCAGAACCCAGGCTCAAACCTACTTCCCACCTTCCCAGGAGTGCTCTGGATCCACGTCCCACTGCCCTGTACATGTGTTCCCGCTGCACAGAGACGGCCAGGGTGGCTGCACGCTGAGACCGACCCTAATGCTATCCCACAACCCATACCCATGGATTGCCCCATCACCCTCTTGGCAGTTCACATCCAGGGAGCTACTGGGTGCTGGTTTATCTGATGGTGGTCCATGTCCAGCTGGGTTTCCTGCAGCCAGCACTGGAGTACTCTGGAGTATACAGCCAGCTTTTAATGGTCTCAACACTTTAAATTTCTACTGGAGGAAAAAACAGAGCAGATGGTACCTGGGCTGGGAGCAACTCACCTTTGACGTCTTCAGAAAGTGCAGCCTGGCCAAAGGCCGTGAGCCATGCGAGATAACCTGAGGACCCGTGTATCTGCCCTTTCCTGCTATTACTCTGGCTCTTCACGCACCAGCTGTATCAGGAGGGTGCTGCCACTCCAGAGTTGAATGTGCGTAATATTAAAAAAAATATTATGTTACATCCCAGTGGACAAGTGCAGAAATAGTCTTAGGTTGAGCTTGGCTACCTTACCTGGCTTGGCTACCAAAATAATTTGTCCTTCTTATCACTGGAATAGGGACAGATCTTACTAAACATGCCACTTACGGCTAAATATCTTTTTCAGAAGTGGTAAAAGTGATGGCATTTGGAATACAGCTTTTTTTTTTTTTAAAAAAAAAAAAACAACCCTCAATCATGTAATTTACTTACAAGAAAAAAAGTGCAGGTTTTATTTTCCTACCTTCTCCTTAACCCCTACAGGCTGTGATATCGTATGTGTAAATTCAAATTAACACTTCTCCCATCTGGATTTCCATATATTTAAATTGGAGGCTTGGAATAACGTTCTTCTTTTTAGAATAAAGGCTTTTGAGAAACTACCATGTTTGAAGAGCAATGGGTTGAGTGGCTGACGGTGCTAGTGCCTGACTAGGAAGACCACAGCCAGCTCTGAAATGACTTTGTCAACAACTTTCTTTCACATTTAGACTTTATAGCCCAAGGACAGATAGGTATCTTTCTAAGCAGGGCATGTTAGCTAATAAATATTTTTCTATAACTGCCTTAAATCCTTATTTTTGCTATAGGCAATTCTACCTTTGCACTTTTTTCGGCTGGGCCCCTGTGCAGCCTGGCACTGCCGCCTGCCAGCTGCTTTATGTCCTGTCTCTGGGGCACCCTGTCCCATGGGGGTGGCCGCTCTGGACGCTCCTTAGCCAAATCTCTGTCAGGCAGGAGGGCAGAGATGGGTACAAAGGCATGGCTGTCTCAGGGCTGAGGGGAAATACAAAACCCTGGGAAGAAACCTCCCAGAACACCCACTGCAGAGGAGAGCATCACCCAGGGCCCGGGCTGCACTGCTGTGTGGATGTCTGTCTTAGAATCATAGAATGGTTTAGGTTGGAAGGGACTTTGAAGATCATCAAGTTCCAACCCCCCTGCCATACACAGGGACACCTCCCACTAGACCAGGTTGCTCAAAGCCCCATCCAGCCTGGCCTTAAACACCTCCAGGGATGGAGCTTCCACAACTTCTCTGGGCAACCTGGTCCAGTGCCTCACCACCCTCAAAGTGAAAAATTTCTTCCTAATATCTAATCTAAATCTACCCTCTTCCAGTTTGAAGCCATTCTGCCTCATCCTATTGCTACATGCCCTTGTAAAAAGTCCTTCCCCAGCTCTCCTGTAGGCCCCCTTTAGGTACTGGAAGGCCACTATAAGGTCTTCCCGGAGCCTTCTCTTCTCCAGGCTGAACAATCCCAACTCCAACCCCAGCTTCTTGTGAGAGCCGGCACCTCCACCTGCCCCCTCCACCCCAGCAGTCGGGGCTGAGCCTGCGTGAGGGCTCGTGATCTGCCCACACGTGCTCCAGTCAGCTGCAGAAAGGCTACAGCTGTGAAGCCCTCAAAACCAAAAAGCATCATCAGGGAGCACCAGCCCATTTCTCTCTGCCCAGCTTCTATTTGTGGCTTGCGTGCTTGTCCTTCCCCTGCCGCGGGGATGGAGTCGGAGAGGAAACTCTGCTCCACCATTCCCAAGCAGATGCCCTGCCAGAAACCCACCAACAAACAGAAACAGCTGCTTTTTGGCCGCCTCCTCGCCCTCAAAAGAGCCTCGGGGTGGTTCCTTCGCACGGGCCGACAGGGAGGAAACAATCCCCGAGCTCTGGCTCTTTCGGCCCCATCCCTCTCACCCCATGTGCCGGCACAAGGGGCAGGAAGCAGCAGTCGCTCAGCAATTCTGCCTGGTCTCTCTTGGGCTGGCTTAAGAAAGAAAAGCCTCAGAAGTCGATTGGCACAGCTTGAAAGCAGATCCCACCACCACCCCTCACCCCCCCGCCTGCCCCAGCAGCCCTCCAGACTCGAACGCCTGTTCCCAAACCCAGCAAGCCCCGCAGCATTAAGCTGAGATTGCTTCTCCTCAGCTTCAGCCGCTGATGGCCCCGCAGCGGACCCCCGGCCTGCCCACCCAAGGCTGCGGGGAGAGCTGGTCTTCCCAGGACCATCCTGAAACACGGACACAGGCTGACGGGCTGCGTTTGCTGGCATGATCACAGCTTTTTAAAACAAGCTTATGCTGCAAACGCCAAGACATCTCAGATGATGGATTTTCAGCGTGCTGTTGGCTGGTGTGGAGGGTCCCAACAAGTGCAATTCAGAGCAGCTCCACAGGAAGCCACACAGGCACCAGAGAGGAGCCAGAAACCTGGGGCATGATGCTGCATCCCTCAGCCCCGGAGGCGAAGCTGCAGGTGACAAGGCAGGCAGGATGAACCCACAGGCT